CTCTCCGTATCGTCGAACTTACGAATTTTTGTCGAAAGTTACGGAACATGGGAGCGCATGACAGGAGCTACGAGTTTGCCAGTTTTTGCCGGGAAAACGAAGTTTTGCTTGTACAACCACGACGACGGCAAACTCTACCCTGGAATGTGTAGCTCGATGTCATTAAGCAAACACAAAAATTATTGGACAATGTCGTCCGAAAATAAAAGCCAAGGAAACAGAAAAGTGAAGCGACTCGATGGAATTTGACTGAGCTATTTTACAAATTTTGCTTGTAGCTCGAAACCGTGGACGCTCAGAAACTATTGGACAATGTTGCTCTGAAATAAAAAGTAAAAGTCTCGCAAGTGACTCGATGAAATTTGGAAATTTTCTCTTGTGTGCTTAGATGGAATTTTTTTTTTTTTTTTTTAACTACTTTTATTATTTTCTTTTTGTATGGTTCTTTCGTTTTATATGCCTCCTTTGCCTATTCGATTTGTATATTTATATTAATCTTCGTCTTTATCATTTGCTTTGTTATTGCTTGCTAACGTCAATATAAATAAAAATAAATCTAATACGACGGCACGAACAGTGACTTCGTCATTCCAGATTCTATATTTGATCTCGAGAACAACGATCTAAATTATATAAAGTTGTATATAAATATCTTATCGGTCCAATTCCGAATCGCGAGGCTACGTTATCCGTTTTGTAAAATAGAGGTGAATCGTTTGGACGACTTATCTCCTTAAACTTATCTTCCGAAAGTATCCTATAAAATCTTATAAGAGACGAAGTGAAAGTTATCCAACGGAGGATCTCGGTGGGGATTTATTCGCCAGGGACGTGCTCGACAATGTAGCCTCGCTAAATTGCCAGCCTGAATTCACTCTAAAGAGACTTTACTATCTCGATGACGTTAATTCATTCGCAATGGGACCTTATTGCTCAAGAAGGACTATAGAATCAACAGCAATTCGTTACACGGCTTCGTCTCCCTTCTCCATCTATCTCTTGGAAACAGTCGGAGTCGTTCCGGAAAACGCTAGGACGGAATGGAATTCTGATGCAAACGGAACGCACAAATGGATCCCTTGATTTCGACCGAATGCGGAATTAGTCGAATTTAGCGAATAAACGACCGTAAACAATTTCGACGGGAGGTCATTTGCAACTTAATATTCTGGAGTGCATCCGCGCTTTCTCTTTGGGTGCAATGTTCGGATTTCTAATTAATTATTTTAAACTTTTATGTAGAGACATCTCTAAAATCCTGGATAATTTTCTGAAATTTCACTGGACGAAACAAATTAATATCTCGAGTGCTCGATGAACGGAATGTAGAAATTTCCTTGTAGAAATTTTTCGTAGCAAACTATTTCGAGTGTCTTTAATTAAATCCACGTGTCTACTAGAATTATAGCGTGATTCGAAATTTCCACCTGAATTATTATTATAAAACAATGTTCCATTCAATCTGTAAAGTAATCGCATTCGAGAATTGATTACCCTCGCCGAAACGTCAATTTTGAAATTGTTTGGTATCTGTAAGCAGCATATTTATCTCTGTCAAAGAATGCTCTCAACGCAACCAGATTAAATTATTTAAACGGTATTAACTAAACATTAATTATATGAAGCGATAATTGTGAAACGCATTCCTATGCGCGACCGCCAATTAAATTCCGCCGTACGGTAAATATTTGGAGCCATTACATAGTAATTAATGACGGTGTTAAACGATCCCTGGCCAACAAAACCATCGATCCTCTGAAATTGTTCCGACAAAATGAGGTAACTGATCCCTACTTGTCAACGTACGAGTTTTACTAAACATCTGCTTGATTTACTGACGATTCAAAAAATGATCATTCTGGAAACGAAAGTATAAGAAAAATATGAAAGAATTATTTTAAACGTCTATTTTCTGCTGTTGACAAATTTAACAAATTCGCGCAGAGCTTTGGATACAAAACCTCCTGAAAGTTGAACAGGGTGGATTCTGTTATCTGTAAGTTTCTCAATGTTAGCTCATTTTTAGGAGATAATATTGAAACAAGGTTTCGTTAGTTTTTATTTGCTCTTCGTTTGCATGGAGTTGATGAGTTAGCCATCTGGGAAATCCATGGAAAGGGGTAATATCGAGGTTGGGGTTTTATAGCAGCATTTTCAGCTACACCTGATCTCTTGCACACCATCGTACTTCGATTGTGTTTAATCTTACGTTATTTTCATATATACACTACCACGCATAGATAATAAAGACGTTTAATAACAACAATATGACAGTTTTTTTTTTCTTATTAAAAGATTCTAAATTAATTCAACGTTGAAACGTTTCGCTAATAGACCATACAAAACGGGGAACGTGCAACGATGATATATTTGAATAATAATGGAAAATAATAGTGAATTTATCGAATGGATTAATTAACAGCGTCGTTTCTGCTAAATGCATGAAAATAAGTTCCTTTGTCTCGTTTACGGTGATAAATGAGAATGTTCGGCATTCAATAAAAACGGCCAGGAGTCCTGGCATTATCACGGATTCGTATTGTCCGAATATATACCAGCCCTGCAAAAACGAGCGTAAAATCGACTAATAAAAGACGATCGATCGTTTCGTGTACAGACTCGCTCCATAACATCCTACGTATATTTTCATTTCTTCTTATTTCACATGCATTCTTCATTTTCCCTCGGTGAACGTACATATATTCGCTATAGTGCGTCCTATTTTATTTGCCATGTCCACCCCTTTCACTTGTTTTTTTTTTCTTTTTTTTTTTTTATCTTCCGCCTCTCTACCCTTTCAAATTCATTGCGCATTCGACGTAGTTCGTATTTATGTTTCCCTTCAGAAATATTTACGTTCCTTCATTTCGACTCGACATTTCATTTTTGGTTTCAATCGATTTAGTCGTCAGAGTCACTTAATCCGAAACCATTTCGAATAAAAGTTCACGACAGATCGACCAGTACAGCAATAAATGACCGCGATAAATCTGGCAATTGCGGGACGTCGTCGATTAAGAATCAACGTCCGCGGCAAATTGAACGACCGAAACTGCCCTCGAGGATAAAGCGATCATTTCTCTGCCACGGAGTCGTGACAATTCGCTCGTCGTTCGACATGCGTACATGTGTCGGACATTGTAAGCCATTTGTAGAATAGCGTAAACGTCGACCGATAATCAGACGCTCGATCGTGCCAGGGACTGGGAAATAATCGCTCCAATAAATTCGAGACATTATGGAATTCGCGAGCTTCCCTCTTTCTCGATACTGCGACCTATTACGTGAGTCGTTGCTGTACGTACGACTGCTATTGTTTCGTGTTTCTGTCGCGCGAGGAACGAGAGGGAACAAAGTGCATCGATACGATGGATCGGTTATCGAGGACTAAAGCTTGTTCGATAATATTCCTCACTTGCGGTGAATACAGACTCTGAATGTCGCCATTGAATGTATCAGTAAAGATTTTAGTTTGATTCCTGTGGCAAATTTTGGATAATTAATTTTATTTCAAGCTCGCGTGAATGGAAACGAAAAATACGTTATTTGGTACGATAAATTGCGTCGTAATGTCGAGCGGCGTAGGAAAACTCTATGAATATTTTATGACGTTTATAATTATTAATAAAACGACGGTAAAAAGGATATTTTAGCGTACAGATTTAGCGGCAATTTGTAGGTAACTTACTTGGTTACAAATGGGTAGAAGGAATGTAAATTACGTATCAAAAAATTTCATAATGCGAGGATGTGGAAATTGTTTAATATTTTAGTAAATTCATAACTGACGATAGACAGTTAGCAGGGCTACTAGGCTACAACCTTAGTTTTAATTGTTTGTTGAAAACTGTGAAACTGATATTGAATTTTAAAACTCCCTTTCGCAATCTAATAAAAGAATCCAGTCTCTCTATTTTCAGATACCTAGAGTAGATTAAGCACTTGCCCATTATTAACGTAACAACGGCACGATTCGAACAGGTCCCGGGAAGCAGCGAACGATGGACGCCGGCTGACACAATGATAACTAATCAATATTTTTTTCCAGGAACCCGTCAGATATACCAAGAATAATTAATGCGACACCCTCTCGCGATCGTTCGCAGTTTTTATCGCGATTCTTAATTGCAAAACGCGCTCGTGCGTTATTTTATTCAAACGAATCCCGTAGTCCCTCCCTCTTGTCAAACCGAGCTCGTCCTCGAATGGACAGCTAAACGAAGCGAGATATTTGATCAAAATAAAGAGAAAACCAAGTAGAGCGTTTAAAGACCGATGGGGAGAATTCCCTAGGCGAAACTCGAACTTTTCGACGAGCTTCTGCACGACGATAGCGCTCGAGACACTGAAACCGGTGATTATGGCATCGAGATCGTAGGATTAATACCCCTCGAGATATTTAACATCGTAATTATTTCAATCATAAATTCAATCATAATGTTCAGTCTTGATCATTTACAGTAAATGTGAAGTCTAACAAAATTCGAAAAATTCACTCTTCGTTCTTTCCTTTCTTTTTTCTTTTTCTTTGTAACGCACTTCAAGGATTACTTTAGATCTTGCATTCACTGAAGAAGAGTAAACAACGCCTGAATGCGATCCTTCGCCATTATATTTGTCAATCAAGAAAAAAAAAGAAACATAAAACAAACACCTGTATCATCTATTTAGAGTACCTCTGAAGACTCACGCTGCCCTCAACCTAAACTTTAATATTGAATATCTCCGCACCGACTGTACCACGTCGAAACCGTAATCGTCCCCGAGATTTCGAGCTCTGTCGCCGTGCAAATCCTCGCGGAAGAGCCAGCGTTCCACCCGGCGAATTCTCCTCGAGAGAGACGTAGGAGACTCAGAAATCACAACACCAGTAGCCGGAAAGAAAATTTCTAAAATCAGTTCTCAATGTTGCTGTCTATTGCGCGCCCTCGATTGGTCGTGGTCGAATATCGTGCTGCGACACACACGCAATTGGACCTATACAACCGGGTGTTAAGAAGGCTGCGGCGACGATAAGTGCAAGGCGACTTCACGGCGCCGTGGTCACCTTCACCAGCCCAGAGTCCCACTTGGTAAGCCTCAGTATCCAACGCTTTGAACGAAACAAAAAAAAAAAAAAAAAAAAAAAAAAAAAACTTTTTTAATTAAAAAAAAAAAATAAATGCAAGAAAAAAAAAAGTAACGAGCGATTGAATGAAGCGCAACAGAGAGCTCGTGTCTGTGAGCGCGCTGTCTTTCTCGCTGATTGGCCCGGCCACTTGATACGCACCAATATAATTATACTATATATACAGGGTGTGTCCCGCGGAACAATGGCCGCTTTAAGTAGGGTCACTTGTATTTGACGGGATGGGAGATGTCGAAGGAGAACTGTGTCTGTATTTAGAGAAGCAGATATTTGGATGTTACGATTGTCTCTAAGGTCGTGTTTAACGAAATTTCAAGATCGTTGGTCTTGTTTTAATGCTATTAATTATGTATATGGACGTAACGAAGTAGCGCGCATAAATGGGAGGAAATAAATGGTATTACGCGTTGCCTTGAAGCTACTTTGGATTTTTTAATAACGGCAGTTAGGTTTATATATCGGTGAAGAGGTACTGTCGTTTTGACACGCAGTTGCTTTCCTCCCATACGGTAGTCACGATCAAATTATTGTCACGATTACATGTGTTGGACAGGTATCGCTTTAACCTTTAAATCGGATAGTTAATTCATTTTACAGAAATATGATTGCTAGTAAAATTATCGAAGTAATTTTTCTAAAAATTACTTTCTTTCTTCCTAGCAATATTACTACTTTAACGATATTGTACCATACTCCCCTCAAGAAACAGGTAGATGACCCGAAAACCTCGTGAAACATGACTTTAGGAAAAATTGTATGACTACGTAATATCTGCCCTTCTAAATAAATCTTTTCTTCGTACATTGTTTCGCTACGTCAAAAAACATGTGACACACTTTAGGTTGGCATACTTGATGGAACATCCTCTATATATATATAAATTATATATATATATATAATTGGCTAACTCTCACGCGAAACTTAGCTTTTTAGCGAGGAGCGATCACCAGAGCACCAACTTTTCTTCTCCAACCACTCACGTACCCTGCTCTACTCTCCACCTTTCTTTTCGTTTCTTTTCTTTATCTTTGTCAAAAGAAACGCGCGGCGCGGCGCGAACGAGGGGAAATCGGCACGACGATGAAAAGTTTTCGAGGCGAGTTCTCGAACTGTCATCCAGTTTTTCGATTAGGGGCCGCGATCTGCGCTGCTCCTCGATGGTTCGAGTGATCAACCAACGAGCAGACGGGTTAGCATTCGCCCTGATACCACCCACCACCCCTCAACCTATGGCAATTTCTTCTGGAAGTTCTGATCGCGTTTCTTTTTCTTTTGACTGTCATCGATGCAGTGTTTCAATGTTACTGGTCAATTATTGTCCATTACATGCAATTAGGGTCGTGTTTATGGGTTCGATGAAATGAAATCGAAACATCATTTTTACTCTCGCAGTTTCATGTTACATTTGTTTGGTTCGAGTCGTTATTGAGTTTAAGTAAAATTCTGTAACTTTTATTAACCGACCTCGAAAAGGAGGAGGTTACTCAACTCGACATGTATTTTTTTTTTTTAAATATTATCTCGGAGTCGGAAATACAGAATTTCTTTTTCTGAAAGAATATCCAGTTCCTTTAGAATGTGTCGAAGAATTATTAGACCGTATTAGCCGTTATAGAACACGATTAACTTTGTATTTATTAACTTTGTATTAAAACTTCTCGTTTTATTTAATCGACGACTCGGACCAAGCGAATCGAAGCAGTGATATACCGATATGTATTTACGTATTTGTATATCCATGCACGGAAGATATAAAACTAATTCTTCTGCTATAATTGAGGTAATTATTCCGAGAAAAAGAAACGCGCAACTAACTTAAAGAGAACATATTCCAAGATGCGTACATTCCACCTCGATACTTGTAAATAAAAACTAAACAAATATCAGAATATTTCCTTTCGTAGCCCGAAAGTCTCCCCGAAACCGTCGTGCCGATACCCCAACGTTTCTCCGCGAGCTTTCTTGTGAATGGTTAGGAAATCTGTCATAATCTGTATATATATATATATATTATAGTTCACGCGTGGGGGTCTTGATCACGATCTTAAAGCTAGCCTCTATAGGTACACCACTGGTCACTGCACATGCACGCAATAATCTTCGCTCCTCTCGGTATTGTCATCACTGTCACTCATCTCGTTACCATATCATCCGCATCTCTGTTCCGCCATAGCAATATCTTCGTCACTCTTGTGTCCGTCTTTCGTGTCGCCATCTCAAACCTTGAACGTACGCAAGATTGTCGCTAACCACGCGGAACCGATAGTTTTACAAACGTAGTAGATCGACCCAGTCGTAGCCTGCATCGTGAATTTGTTAAAAAAAAAAGAATAGCCGTAGTTCGTTCGCGACGGGATCGATGAAATTTTGCTCGCGTAAGCGTCGTTCCACGACGTTCACCGATTGACCGCGGCGCGTGTAACGTCAAAAAATGTCTGCCCCAAAGCGGCCAAGAGAATCTCATTTCATCGAATCATCTTCTGTTGCCTCGTGGAATGAGCGACTAATGAACGTCTGACAACTGCCTTTAGCTCGAGCACTGATATGCATGAGGAAAGAGGAACGGAACGAATCGCACCGCCTGCATGTTGACGCAACAAAATCTACGTCTAATTGTTCTTTCAGGACGAAAAACGGCCGCGTTCTCTGCGAACGCAACGTGAACCACGACCGTCTATTCGACGGCTGACTCGGTCGGTGCCGACCATTGATTTTCTCGAGAAAACAACGCCGAGACAGGGACGTCGATCGATGTTAAGGAAGGATTGAATCGTAGAAGTCAGCTCGAAGTCAGTTTCGTGGAAGCGAGGGGTGGAGAGATTTTTGTAGATTAACAGAGTTTTGGTTAAACTCGTTGGTGGAAGGTCGGGGTTCGACACTAGGTATGGATTAGTCCTCTGTTTGTTGATAGATACATAAAGGGAGAACCAATTCGACCAAATGGTTGGTTCGATGGACCAGGATAGCTGGTTGATTGGGTTAGATCTAACCCTTTGACGACATCCCTACGGGTGGTTACTCTTTGTTGGTCCACGAAGGGAGGAGGACTTTTAACGCCGAATAGTTGGCTTCGTGAATTAAGGTAGCTGGTAGGTTGATTCGAATCTTCGATAAATAAGTTCTCTCGACTGTGAGAATAGTGTCCGAAATAACTATGGATATTGACAAGACTTGTGCGTGTGTAGCTTTGATCAGTAGGATTAGATATAGGGTACAAATTGTAGAGAGTAGGAACTCTTGTATCGGTACATTTAGAATGTATTGGAAATTATTGCAAAACTGTTCTCTATTTCATCGGAAGCAACTGTAGGATCGTTTGTCAAAATAACTGACTAGCGGTGGGATTATATTCTCCTCTTAGGGTCTTGTTACTCTCCGTTAGGCTTCGTTACTCTTCCACGAATCTGTATTAGGGCACATTTTTTAGCTCTAGGTGTCTGGTATCAGCACGCCTCGTTTATTGCAAAATTGTTGTATCATCGGTAGGTTTGGCTGTAGCGTCGGAACTCTTCGAGACACGTTTACAAAGTCCAGGTACTCGTTAATAACGGTGTATTTAATTTCATATCGTCATTTGTTACCTACAGTTTGACGAATTTCGACATTTCAATCACGATTAAAGACAAGAAAGTTAGACTAGACCAGAACTAGTCCCTGTTCTTAACCCTTGAACGATCTAAGTTTCAAATTTGATACTGGACTCTTAAATCGAATTGTACACTAGCAATTTCTTTGTTTTTAATATCTCGCTGTATATACGTCAGTACATACTGTCAAAATTGTTCTAGTAATAAATACATTCATATCTTCTTAAATTTAATTTGGAAAATCGGATCTCTAACGGTTAAATCGTAGAAATAGAGTTAATCGATTAGTTTGGAAGAACAGGATCCAAACTTCATCTTTGAAGAGTTCATCGTGGATTCATTCTAAAATTTGAAGCGATTGCTGCGAATAATTTACGTATCACATTTCTCTATGTCTCTGTGAGGAAAAACACACTCAAACCAACGGCATCCACTGCAAACCAACAATCTACTTTTGTTCGAAAGTCGTCGAAGTCAGTTACAATTATTCGATTCGATCTTCTTCTCTAAAAGATGCAATAAAATCGCCACAAGTGGATGGTTAAACACCGTCGATCTGGCACGTTGCAGAAACGCGAAATTTTCAAAATCTTCAGATCACGGAGAAGGTTTCGTCCAGCGCGAGATCGGAGACGTCTCCGTAGAACGTCGAAGACGATTCGCTCTCTTGAAATAGGAACGATATAACGTCCCTGGATCATCGTTTTTCCAGCGAAACGGAGGAGTGCGTAAGGTTTTTATCCGTTGATCGGCGACCACCGCGAGAACATCAATGAAATTTGGACCTCCGTGGGCCGACTTGTTTCACTAAACAGGATCAGTTCAGCTCGTCTCACGTTCGTTTCACCTTCACAGACGACACACACGCATAACACACCTATACATACACGAGCCACACGTAAAGGAGACGTACACCCACGCCCCAACACCCGCCCCAACCCTTTTGTTTCTCTCACCTCGCGAATAAGCTCTCTCTAAATTCTCGTCTACGGCGGCTCGAGGTGTACCGATGCCTCGCGCAACCACGACACCAATATCGTAACTCTTGCGCAGCTGCGGCACGGTGGGGCTCTGGGTAAGAAAACACGAAATAACTTTGAATATATATTTCTCGATTACTCGGATTCCCGGCTCGCCAGCTTTCCAGGCGCAACGAACCCGACTGTCGGGATCCGCATCTCAGGATGACGAGTGGACGTTAGTTTTTTTTTTTTTCTTAATATTGTGGTTGATTACAATCAGGATTTTGGCGAAATTCCGGTAGGTTGTTTTATAAGTATCGCAGCTTTTTCGCTGATCGAATCGAATTATATTTGTTTGACACCTTGTTTAGTAAGGGCTCGAATGGAAAAATGAT